GTAGGTAGGTAGGTAGGTAGAAAGGTAGGTAGGTAGGTAGGTAGGTAGTTAGGTAGGTAGGAAGGTAGGTAGGTAGGTAGGTATGTAGGTTCTTTATTACATTTGAGTTTGAGGAAGCTTTCATCGGTTTTAGAAAAAGGGCGCTACGACATCTGCTCTATTTCCATTTGCTCTATGGTCATTTGCTCTAGTTCCATTTGCTCTATCAAGTCATTTGCTCTATACGTCATTTTTTCTATACGTCATTTGCTCTATATTCAATCTGCTCTATGACTAAACACGTCAATTGCTCTATAACATAACATAACAGTAGCTTTTATTGGAATTCCTGAGCGTAACTTGACTATGAAATGCGGGAATTTTTTTTGGAAAATTCGCAAATTGCAGTTTTCATCAGTTCTTCAAAGTTCATCATGACAGCGAGACTGCTCAATAATAAGAGGGGTAAAAAAAACCTAATATGTGGTGAAAACTATTAATTCTACTCTAAACAAACAGGGTGTCTATCAGTACTGGAGATGTCTTGAATATAGAAGGCAGAATTGTTCTGCCATGGCTAAAACTTTCATAGATGGTAAAGATATTGGACCATCACAGTCATGAAAATGTTTATAGAGCAAATGACGTGTTATGTCATAGATCAATTGACGTATAGAGCAGATGACATATAGAGCAAACGTCGTGATCTATGAGCTATAGAGCAAATGGTTAATAAAGCAAATGGAACTAGAGCAAATGACCATAGAGCAAATGGAAATAGAGCAGATGTCGTAGCGCCAGAAAAAGTGTTAAATTTTGACAAAGGAATTGAGTCTTTGCCACAAACTCTGATTTTTAAATTCCTATATCTTAACAGCCCAATGTTGTAGACCTTAGGTATTTCAAACTTTATGACTTCTGTTATATCAATCAATCAAAGTTTGAAATATCAAAAGTTTACATAATTTGGTTGTGGATATATAGGTATTAGAAAATTGGGATTTGTTGCGAAGACTCAAATCCTTTCTTCCTTTGCCCTTGATATTGCTTCAATACGAAAGACACTGTGAACTAACCAGGGGGAGAAGGTCAAATTCAAATGACACTAAAGTTAGGACTTTGCTCCTCTAGTTCTGATTTTAAGTACAAGTGTAAGAAAAGCTAATTTATTCTTTTACATAAAATAAATTGAAAACATTTATGTTATTCTCTAAAGCTCTTTAAAAAAATTAGTTATGATAAAAAACTTTATATGTTACAATTCAAACTGAAGTACATTTCATTTGAACTTCTCCTTCTTTCTATCTCAGTATATTTCAAATTGGTTGCAAATAAGCTTGTTCATTTTTCAACATTTAAGACATTTTGACTTGATATAAAAAGTAAAAACATAATTTTTATTATGATTCACACTATCCTATCCTGAACGCGTCAAAACTCCTCTTATTGAAGATGTATTGAGAAGAACAAAAGTGTTTTGTATTCATAATATACGACTCGGATCGTAAAAAAATCAATTTAATTTCAAACAAATCATTGAGATACTACAACCAATAGTCATCAATTATTTTTTCGATGCATTCGTATATGTACTTAAAACGCCGAAATATTTCTGACTTTGTATAGACTCTGCCTTCTTCTGTAACAATTTTCTCCTTATAGACGCAAGAGATAGAAGTAAGATTAGTAGCAATCAAAAGCGATTATTTTTCGCCGTAAGCCTATTTTTCGCGAACACTCCCTTTAAAGAACGTCAAAAAGTGTTTAAAACTATAATTTGTTCGTTGTTAAAAATGTAGATATCATTTTCTTGTTGACTGTCAAAACCTCCATAAATTAAACGAGCTTTTATCAATAAACAATTGCAAATCTGTAAAGAATTTTATCTTTGCCACAAACATTGATTTAATAATCTCTATATCTTTGCAACTCAATGTTGTAGACCTAAGATATATTTCAAAATATGATTTCTGCTAGATAAATAATCTAAGTTTAAAATATCATAGGTTTAAAATTTTAGTTTATGGCGAAGACTTCTTTCCAAATGCTATTTTGTTATTTTTAAAACTTTTTTGGAAACCAATATGGTGACCCTCTTTAAACCAGAAAAATATAGTAGCACACTTTATTGAATTTGATAACCATTGATAATTTATACCATAAGCCTGAAATAAGTCAATATGGATCCAAGCATATATCTATATATATATATATATATATATATATACCATAGCAAGTTTTTTTTTTAAGGGACTGTTAAGGAAAAATTGAAGGGGTTTCTGCTGAAACCTAATTACTTCTGCAGGAGTTGATCGAGACCCTTATGAGTTCTATCTGATGTCCCTGTCTCGAGAAATTGATATAAAACGTATCAAAATTGTACCTAAACTTATATATATATGAGATTTTGTATATAAATCAAAGTAGTTTTTAACAGATTACATTCAGCAAATACGCAATGAATCTGAAAATTATGATATCCCAGAGAAGCCTAAACAGCTTAGGTACGCTCCTATTATAATTTGAATTAGACATTTTTCATTTTACTAGATATAATTGATAATGTAAATGATACGTCTGTGTCACGTGACCAGAACTTCCACTAGTGGCAGTACATGGATATGGTCATGTGTCTCCATCCGTGTCATGTGATCAGGTACATGCACTACCCTCCCCCGTGATAGGGTATGCAGGATCCAGAAAGGTATACTTTAAATCTTTATCTGATGAATAATGTGGAAGATATTGTCGTTTTTCTAGCTTCAGACAAGTTCAATTTCCAAACTTTCTTCCGTTGTGTCTGCGGCAAAAATTCTGCAAGTCACTTTTCTATTGAGAAGCCAGTAAATAACCAATTTTAAAAGAGAAATCAAGGTTATCTCATTCATTCGTGATCAGGTCAAAGCTCTCAATAGTGAGAGTGTGAATCTGCTTCACTATAAGTTAAGGATCATTTCAAGTTTGTGTCTGTAGTTGCTTTGCGACTTGTTTATTTATCAGTACTCAGCAGCGCAATGTTTGCTGTTGTTAATTTTCCTTTTCAACGAGAATATTTTGAAAATAGGTTAAACTTTTTGATCAAGGTATTTAATATCAAGTTCTTAGTCATCTTTTTAATTAAAGGGACTGTTTAAAGGGAGTGTTCGCGAAAAATGAAAGGGGGTATAGGCTTAATGCGATAAAAAAGCGCTTTTGATCGCCACTAATCTTACTTCTATCTCTTGCGTCTATAAGGAGAAAATTGTTAAAGACGTCTCATACCGAATAACATGGCGTCCATGCAAATTGAGAAAATTGCAACGTACGACTTAGACCGTAAAAAAATCAATTTAATTTCAAACAAATCATTCAGATATTACAACCTAAAGTCATCGATTGTCTTTCGCCACATTTATATATAGAGGTGATTTTTCATAATATGTTTTAATTGTTATGATCTGAGAGTTACTTATAAAAACATTTATTCCTGTTTAGAGGATTTTTGAGAATGAAGACGACATTTTCATATTTTCCAGGAATGTTCGAAAACAAGTTGTAAGCCAAATATTATTTTAAAAAACAAAATCAAAACTAGTATGAAATATTAAATATATACAAATGTGGCGAAAGATAATCGATGACTATAGGTTGTAATATCTGAATGATTTGTTTGATATTAATTTGATTTTGTCCAACTTCCACAAATTGTATGGCAAATTGGTTGCAAATAAGCTTGT